GAGGCTTAAGTCTAGACAGCTGCCTGCAAATGGGAGAACCACAGATGCACACATATGTGAGGTTGAAGCCCTGAGCCTCCCTAAGGTGGCCACCCCACCCCCTTCCAGGTGTATTTTGGGCGCTGGTTGATCGAGGGAGGCCCTCTGGTGGTGCTCCTGGATGTGGGGGCCTCAGCCTGGGCCCTGGAGCGCTGGAAGGGAGAGCTCTGGGATACCTGCAACATCGGAGTGCCGTGGTACGACCGCGAGGCCAACGATGCTGTCCTCTTTGGCTTTCTCACTACCTGGTTCCTGGGTGAGGTAGGCCCCGTCTGACATGTTCCACCCATACCTGAAACTACAATGACCATCAACCCCTCCGCCAGAGGCTGGGGTTTCTCCCTGGGCATTCTGGGAGCCATAGGGTCCTTTAATCCAAGGATTAGCCCTGGCCTTTAGGGACATGGACATCCAGGGCCCAGGCTCTACTCTCGATGCCAACTTCATTTACTCCAGTCTTCCAAGCGTAGGGATTCTAGCTCAAAGTGAGGCAGGCGGGCTTATCTGAGGAATTCTGGGAGTTGTAGTTCTCTAGTGTGATATTGCTGGGCTCACCTCTCAGATGCTGCCCTGCATGCTTATGAATCCCCAGACTGACCTGGTTTTGACCCCCTTCTAGGTTTTAAAAGGGTCAAGAAGCTTAGTTTCCAGGCTGGATGCGGTGGCTCATGCCTGTAATCCCAGCACTTTGGGAGGCCGATGGGGGAAGATCACTTGAGGCCAGGAGTGCAAGATGGCCGAACCTCGTCTCTACTAAAAATACAAAAAAAATTAGTTGGGCATGGTGGTGGGCACCTGTAATCCTAAATCCCAGCTACTTGGGAGGCTGAGACAGGATAATTGCTTGAACCTGGGAGGTGGGAATTGCAATGAGCTGAGATCGTGTCATGGCGCTCCAGCCTGGGCGACAGAGAGAAAAAAAAAAGCTTAATTTCCCATGCCCTGGGACAAATAATTCAGGAACTGGCTGCGCCTGTGGCATTCTGGGAGTTGTAGTCCTTTTGCCAGTGTTGGGTGCAGACAGCATACCCTTGAGACAAGGGGTCTTTAGGGACTATGTCCAGGACCCGGGGACGTGAAAACCTCAGTCTTTCCAATCTTACCCTGCCAGGATTTAGAAGGCTGGCCAAAAGATCCTCAGTTCTTGTCAACCCCTGGAGGGGCAATTACTTGAGCCCAGGAGTTCAAGACCAGCCTGGGGTGGCTCAGGGATTTACAGGTCCCCATCCTGTCGGGATTGCTGCAGTGGGCCGCCGCCCACTCTGTGCAGTAGTGGTGACAGATTGCCTCTCACCGAGTGCTTGTCCCTATTGGGGGTTGCCAATTCTCTTCCCGACACTCGTGGAGACAGCAGCCCTGTCCCTGTTGCCCACAGTTCCTCGCGCAGAGTGAGGAGAAGCCACACGTGGTTGCTCACTTCCATGAGTGGTTGGCAGGCATTGGACTCTGCCTGTGTCGTGCCCGGCGACTGCCTGTAGCAACCATCTTCACCACCCATGCCACGCTGCTGGGGCGCTACCTGTGTGCCGGTGCTGTGGACTTCTACAACAACCTGGAGAACGTGAGCTGGGACCGTGGCAGATGGGGGACTGCGAGTATGCCAGGGAAACCCAAAGCTCCAGGGGGCCCAAGGGGATGGCGCCCCCTCTTCTCCCAGGATCCAGGAGTCCAAGTCCCCAGACCCTTCCTACCTCAGACCCAATAATCCAGCCCCAGGCACCAATTTATCTTAGGACCCCAGTGTCTGGACCTCCAGACTCTTCTCCCCAGTCCTTCTAACCTGAATGCTGTCCCCTCCCACCCAGTTCAACGTGGACAAGGAAGCAGGGGAGAGGCAGATCTATCACCGCTACTGCATGGAAAGGGCGGCAGCCCACTGTGCTCACGTCTTCACTACTGTGTCCCAGATCACCGCCATCGAGGCACAGCACTTGCTCAAGAGGAAACCAGGTAGGGGCTGGGCTGAAGTCCCCAGACACGAATGAGGTAGGCAGCTGTCTATGCCAAAGCCAGTTGCTCGTCATCCCAAGAAACCCACTGTAAGTTAAAATAGCATAAACCGAAAATGTATTTTGGCTGGGCATGGTGGCTTATACCTGTAATCCCAGCACTTTGAGAGGCCAAGGCAGGAGGATCACTTAAGCCCGGAAATTTGAGACCAGCCTGGGCAACATGGCGAATCCCTGGCTAAAAAATTTGCCAGACATTGTGGTGTGTGCCTGTATCCCTACCGACTCAGGAGGCTGAGGTGGGAGAATTGCTTGAGCCTAGGAGGTCAAGGGTGCAGTGAGCTGTGATCGTGCCATTGCATGATTTGGGTGGCCCAGAGAGACCTTGTCACAGCCTGGGTGACACAGTGAGACCCTATCTCAAAAAACAAAAAAAATGCATTTAATATACCTAACCTAGTGAACATCACAGCTTAGGCTAGTATACCTTAAATGTACCCAGAACACGTTATGTTAGCCGACAACTGGGCAAAATCATCCAATACAAACCTATTTTATTTTATTTTTATTTATTTATTTATTTATTTATTTATTTATTTTTGAGACAGAGTCTCACTCTGTCGCCCAGGCTGGAGTGCAGTGGCACTATCTTGGCTCACTGCAAGCTCCGCCTCCCAGGTTCATGCCATTCTCCTGCCTCAGCCTCCCGAGTAGCTGGGACTACAGGCACCCGCCTGGCTAATTTTAATACAAACCTATTTTATAATAAAGTGTTGAATAGGCCGGGCACAGTGGCTCACACCTGTAATCCTAACACTTTGGGAGGCCGAGGCGGGCAGATGGGGAGGTCAGGAGATCGAGACTAGCCTGGCCAACATGGCGAAACTCCGTCTCTACTAAAAATACAAAAATTAGCTGGGTGTGGAGGTAGGCGCCTGTAATCCCAGCTACTCGGGAGGCTGAGGCAGGATAATCGCTTGAACCTGGGAGGCAGAGGTTGCAGCGGGCTGAGATCACACCACTGCACTCCAGCCTGGACGACAGAGCGAGACTCCATCTCAAAAAATAAAGTGTTGAATATCTCATCAAAATCCAAAATTGGACACGTGGATGTGTGTAACTTTCACACCATCATAAAGTTGAAAAATCATAACTTGGCTGGGTGCGGTGGCTTACATCTGTAATCCCAGCACTTTGGGAGGCTGAGGTGGGGAGATCACCTGAGATCGTGTGCTCAAGACCAGCCTGGCCAATGAGGTCTCTACCAAAAATACAAAAATTAGCTGGGCATGGTGGCTGGCACCTGTAATCCCGGCTACCCAGCTACTCGGGAGGCTGAGGCAGGAGAATCTCTTGAACCCAAGAGGTGGAGGTCGCAGTGAGCCAAGATTGTGCCACTGCACTCCAGCCTAGGCAACAAGAGCGCAACTCTGTCTCAAAAAAGAAAAGAAAAATCATAACTTGGACCATCCTAAGTCCTAAGTTGGGGACCATCAGTTACCATTATTTTCCTAAAGAATAGAGAACTACAGCTCCCAGAAGGCTGTGGGGGTCGTGACCTGTATTTGAGGCCCTCTGACTATATACTCTGGAAGCTAATGGGAGGTATAATTTCTTTCATGTTAATTTCAGATATGATAAAATTCTATAATTGGCTAATGTAGATTGGTCTTATGAAAGGGAATGGAAGATCAGTGGACTTTGTTTTTGAAAAAGGTAAGGTCGGAACTGGGCATTCTTCCCAGCCCTTGGTATCCCTTCTCAGTGAGTATAAGGTGAGAACTACAACTCCCAGAAAGCCTTTGACTGGTTAGCTCCATATGTTCCCAGAACTTTGCCCGAGGAGCTGACAGGGGTTGTAGTTTTTCGTTGATATACTTTAATTTCTGTGAGGAGAAGAAATGGTTGGGTCCTTGTAAGAAGCTTGGAAGTAGAGGATATATCCTAGGAGAAGCAGGACTTTGGGGATGTTTAATCATTTCCATCTCAGGGTGGACTAAGGGGAAACAAAAGAACTACAACTTTCCCGGAATCACCAGTGTGGATCAGATCCCTGGAAGCCATTTGCAGGAGCCGAGGAGACTTATACTTGTGCTTGTGAACCTATGCAAGTAATATTAGGCAAGAAGGCATCTCGGAGTCAGGGTACGTGTGTCACCAAGGGAACTGACCAGGCATGGTGGTTCACACCTGTAATCCCAGCACTTTAGGAGACCAAGGCAGGAAGACTGTTTGAAGCCACGAGTTTGAGACCAGCCTGGGCAACATGACAAGACCCCATCACTGCAAAAGTAAAATAAATAAATTAGCCGGGTGTGGTAGTACACGCCTGTAGTCCCAGCTACTTGGGAGGCTGAGGTGGGAGGATTGCTTGACCCCAGGAGGTCGGGGATGCTATGAGCTGTGATTGTGCCACTCATTGCTCTTCAGCCTGAGCGACAGAGAGAAACCCTGTCTCCAAAAAAAAAAAAAAAAAAGGCAGGAGGGGGGACCTCATAGGAACGCTATTGAAACAAAGAAATTGCAAAAGGCAAACAAACGGTGCTTTCTTCATGTATTCATTCAACCACAACATTGAATGAACAAATAAAACATGGGACCCTCACCCCCAATCCCAGATATTGTGACCCCCAATGGGCTGAATGTGAAGAAGTTTTCTGCCATGCATGAGTTCCAGAACCTCCATGCTCAGAGCAAGGCTCGAATCCAGGAGTTTGTGCGGGGCCATTTTTATGGGTACGTGGGGCATATACCTAGGTCTTAAGAGAGGAGGGCGTTGGGAGCCTAACCATCTAGGTCTGGGGGAGGGAGGGGGCAGCTGGGGGCCCAGACTCCTGGGTCTGAGGGATGGGGCACCTGGGTATTCGGCCTCCTTAGTTCTTGAGCGCCGGAACAATGGGCTGAGGATTAAAGGAAAGCCCCATCTGAAGAGAAAAACTACAACTTCCAGGAGGCCCCATGATGCCTCTGTATTACCTAAGACATTCTCTGCCCCCACCCATAGCTTCTGGGATTTGTAGTTTTGAGGCCAGGGCTAGCGGGTGAGGGCTTTGGGCTTTACCATGCCTTGTGGGTTCTTTAGGCATCTGGACTTCAACTTGGACAAGACCTTGTACTTCTTTATCGCCGGCCGCTATGAGTTCTCCAACAAGGGTGCCGACGTCTTCCTGGAGGCCTTGGCCCGGCTCAACTATCTGCTCAGAGTGAGGCCTGGGCTATGAGGGGACAGAGGGAGGGCAAGCAAAGCAGTTTATAACTGGGGAGAACAGCCAAGCGCAGTGGCTCACGCCTGTAATCCCAACACTTTGGGAGGCCATGGCAGGAGGATCACTTGAGCCCAGGAGATGGAGACCAGCCTGGGCAACATGGTGAAACCCCATCTCTACAAAAAATACAAAAATTAAATTAGCCAGGCATGGTGGGTCACACCTGTAGTCCCAGCTACTAGGGAGGGTTAACGGGAACGGGGAGGATCACGTGAGCCCGGGAGGCGGAGGTTGCAGTTAGCCGAGATCACACCACTGCACTCCAGCCTGGTCTACAGAAAAAGAACGCTGTCTCAAAAACAAACAAACAAACAAAACAAAAAATAACAGAGAGAATAGAAACCCAGGAAGGGAAGATGGGAGTAGGAAAGCCCCTGCGTGTGTTGGGGTGCCGCGAGGGGAGTATAGAGACCCAGAAAGAAGGGAAGAGTCCAAGCGGCGACTGTCCTATAATTCTCCTTGACAGGAAGGGGTATGGCAGGATCCCAGCAGTCTTGGCAGAAAGGCTGGCTGGTCCCAGGCTTCCCCGACATGATCCTGGCCTCCCCCTGCTTTCTTTCTGCGCAGGTGAATGGCAGCGAGCAGACAGTGGTTGCCTTCTTCATCATGCCGGCGCGGACCAACAATTTCAACGTGGAAACCCTCAAAGGCCAAGCCGTGCGCAAACAGCTTTGGTCAGCAGCCCTCACTCCAGACCCCGGCCCAGCCCACTCCCAGCTGTGTACTTTGGGTCCTGTGTTTCTCCTAGAGTCTCAGCCTTTTTTTTTTTTTTTTTTCGTTTTGAGACCCTCTCCCTCTGTCGCTCAGGCTGGAGTGCAGTGGCGCGATCTTGGCTCATTGCAACCTCCGCCTCCCGGATTCAAGCAATTCTCCTGCCTCAGCCTCCCAAGTAGCTGGGACTACAGGCGCCCACTACCACACTCGGCTCTTTTTTTTTTTTTTTTGAGACAGAGTCTCCCTTTGTCACCCACGCTGGAGTGTACTGGTACGATCTTGGCTCACTGCAACCTCCGCCTCCTGGGTTCAAGCAGTTCTTCTGCCTCAACCTCTCGAGTAGCTGGGACTACAGGTGTACGCCACCATGCCTGGCTAATTTTTGTATTTTCAGTAGAGACGGGGTTTCACCATGTTGGCCAGGCTGGTCTCAAACTCCTGACCTTGTGATCCGCCTGCCTCGGCCTCCCAAAGTGCTGGGATTACAGGCATGAGCCACTGCACCCGGACCTCTTTTATTTTTTTTTTTTCTTTTGAGATGTCGCCCAGGCTGGAGTGCAATGGCGCGATCTCGACTCACTGCAACCTCCGCCTCCCGGGTTCAAGTGGTTTTCCTGCCTCAGCCTCTCGAGTAGCTGAGTGCCACCACACCTGGCTAACTTTTTGTTTTTATTAGATATGGGGTTTCACTATGTTAGCCTGGCTGGTCTTGAACTCCTGACTTCAGGTGATCCACCTGCCTGGCCGAGGAATCCTCCCTGGGATTCCAGACGTGAGCCACTTAGCTTTTTTTTTGTATTTTTAGTAGAGACGGGATTTCACCATGTTGGCCAGGCTGATCTCAAACACCTGACCTCAGGTGATCCAGCCATCTCGGCCTCCCAAAGTCCTGGGATTCCAGGTGTGAGCCACCATGCCTCCCTTTTTTTTGTATTTTTAGTAGAGACGGGGTTTCACCATGTTGGCCAGGCTGATCTCGAACACCTGACCTCAGGTGATCCAGCCGCCTTGGCATCCCAAAGTGCTGGGATTACAGGGGTGAGCCACTGCGCCAGGCTTAGTTTCTTTTTCTTTTCTCTGAGTTTTTTTGTTTTTTGTTTTTTGTTTTTTTGAGATTCTGTCTCAAAAAAGTCTCTGTCGCCCAGGCTGGAGTGCAGTGGCGTGATCTTGGCTCACTACAACCTCCGCCTCCCAGCGAACCTCAGTTTCTTCATCTGTAAAACCGTTCATTCATTAGCAACAGATACTGAGTATCTAGTATGTGCTGACTAATTTTTATATTTTTAGTACCAATGAGATTTCACCATGTTGACCAGGCTGGTCTCGAACTCCTGACCTCAAGTGATCCACCCTCAGGTATTCCAGGTCCTGGGAATACAGCTGTGAACCAGAAAGATAAGATCCCTTTCCTCATGGAGCTTGTATTCTAGAAAATCCTGTAGACGGAATATACTTTCGGGCAAAAATAAAGCAGAACTGGAATATGAGACGGGGTTTCATATTGGCCTCAGGACAGGCCACACTGAGAAAGTGTTATTGGGCAGAGACGAGGAAAGGTGGCGAGGGAAAAAACCCTGTGGGTATCTGGGGAACAGTAAATGCAAAGCCCTAAGGCATGATTGAGACACGGTGGGTGGGCCCATGGGGCTGGAGCGGCATGTCTCATAGAGAAGGGGTAGAAAGTGAGGCAGGATGGTGGAGCGCTCCTGTAGTCCCAGCTACCTGGGAGGCTAAGGCAAGAGGATCATTTCAGCCCTGGAGGTTGAGGCTGTAGTGAGGCATGATTGCGCCACTGCGCTCCAGCCTAGGCGACAGAGTGAGACTGTGTCTCAAAAATAGAAAAAAGAAGTTAGGCGTGGTGGCTCACACCTGTAATCCCAGCACTTTGGGAGGCTGAGGTGGGTGGATCACCTGAGGTCAGAAATTTGAGACCAGCCTGACCGACATGGTGAAAGCCTGTCTTTACTAAAAATACAAAAATTAGCTGAGCGTGGTGATACGCATCTGTAGTCCTAGCTACTCAGGAGGCTGAGGCAGGAGACTCGCTCAAACCTGGGAGGCAGAGGTTGCAGCGAGCCAGGATCGCGCCAATACACTCCAGCATGGGTGACAGCCAGACTCGGTCTCAAAAAAAAAAAAAAAAAAGTGGAGGCTGGGCGTGGTGACTCACAATCCCAGCACTTTGGGAGGCTGAGGCGGGCAGATCATTTGGAGGTCAGGAGTTCAAGATCAGCCTGGTCAACATGGTGAAATCCCATCAGTACTAAAAATATAAAAATTAGCCAGACATGGTGGCGCACGCTTGTAATTGCAGCTACTAAGGAGGCTGAGACAGGAGAATTTCTGGAACCTAGAAGGTGGCTGAGGTTGCGCCAGCCTGGGCAACAGAGCAAGACTCTGTCTCAAAAGAAAAAAAAAGAAAAACAAACGAGGCCAGAGCTATGGGAGGATTTTAAGTAGAAGAGTGACCGTGGGGTGTCATGTGACACTGCTAGTTTTACTTGTGTGCCTAAATGGTCCTTTTTCAGAATCTTACTTTCTTTTCGTATAAAATGGGGCTTAGCATTGCCATCTGCAGGACAAGTACAAGTCCTAATAATAGTTGACGTTTCTGGAAGGCTTGCTATGTGTACTTTTTCACATGACATCATTGGGTCCTCATTGCAAACCTCTGAGGTTGATTCTATTTTCATCCTTATCTGAAAAATGAGTCACTGCAGTCAGAGAGGGAAGGCCACCTGTCCCTGACCACACAGCTGATGTCAGGCACGTGGGATCTAAGCCTTCCAGGGCCTGCCCCCTGGGTCCCCATCCTCCAGCTTGGAGGCCCCGGGGCACGGCTTCCCTGCTCACACCTCAGTTTCCTTGCTACCCTAGAAACCTAAGAGTAGCCCGGCACGGTGGCTCACGCCTGTAATCCCAGCACTTTGGGAGGCCGAGGTGGCCAATTACCAGTCAGGGGTCAGGAGTTCGACACCAGACTGGCCAACATGGTGAAACCCCATCTCTACTAAAAATACAAAAATTAGCCAGGCATGGTGGCAGGTGCTGTAATCCCAGCTACTCAGGAGGATGAGGCAGGAATGCTTGGACTTGGAGAGAGGTTGCAGAGAGCAAGATCGACCACTGCACTCCATCTGGGTGACAGAGTACCTGTCAAAAAAATAAATAAATAAATAAAATAAACTTCGGTTGTGCTGAGCTATAACCACATTGGAGCCGAGGTGGCGGTCATCTGAGGTCGGAGTTTAAGACCTGACCACATGGAGAACCCGTCTCTAAATACAAAATTAGCCAGGCATGGTGGCACATGCCTGTAATCCCAGCTACTTGGGAGGCTGAGGCAGGAGAATCACTTGAACTCAGACGGCAGAGGTTGCAGTGAGCTGAGATCACGCCATGGTACTCCAGCCTGGGCGACGAGCCAAACTCTGTCTCAAAATAAACAAACAAACAAACTAAAGAAGCCTAATAGTAAATGGCAGCTGGTGTGTATGTGACCCTGTTGCTCTGCTTCCTCCAGGGACACGGCCAACACGGTGAAGGAGAAGTTCGGGAGGAAGCTTTATGAATCCTTACTGGTGTGAGTGCCCTGCCCTCAGCCCTGTGCCCTCCTAGGCCCTGACTAAGCCCTCTCATCACTCCGTTCTCACACGCATGCCCCTGCTTGCCTTGCAGTGGGAGCCTTCCTGACATGAACAAGATGCTGGATAAGGAAGACTTCACTATGATGAAGAGAGCCATCTTTGCAACGCAGGTATGGATTGGACCTCTGTGCAGAGAGATGGCAGTTCCCGGCAGCCCCAGCGGCAGCTTGCTACGCCAGCTCAGACCCCAGAGATTGCCGGGAGTGCTGCTTTCTCCTGCAGCCCTTTATTAAGGGATCTATTCTGAGATCCACAGAAGGGCATGTGCTGACTGGTACAACTTCACCTACGGAGGCACAACATGGTGAAATCCCATCTCTACTAAAAATACAAAAATTAGCCGGGTATGGTGGTGGGTACCTGTAATCCCAGGTACTTGGGAGGCTGAGGCAGGAGTATCGCCTGAACCTGGGAGGCGGAGGTTTCAGTGAGCCGAGGTGGCGCCACTGCACTCCAGCCTGGGCGACAGAGCGAGACTCCGTCTCAAAATAAATAAATACAATAAAAATAAATAAATAAGCTTCCCTTTGCTCACTGACCCCAGAGTCCCAGAGAAGCCACACCACCCAGCAACCCCCGTGGCAGAATAAGCCACAGGAAACAGCCCACCCTAAGTGCCTCCCTAAGTGAAGTTGTACCAGTGAAGTGCAGTGGTGCGATCTCGGCTCACTGCAAGCTCCGCCTCCCGGGTTCCCGCCATTCTCCTGCCTCAGCCTCCTGAGTAGCTGGGACTACAGGCGCCCGCCACCATGCCTGGCTATTTTTTTTGTATTTTTAGTAGAGACAGGGTTTCACTGTGTTAGCCATGATGGTCTCGATCTCCTGACCTTGTCGTCCTCCTGCCTCAACCTCCCAAAGTGCTGGGATTACAGGCGTGAGCCACTGCGCCTGGCGATTGGAGGTGAAATTCGTAAGGAAACTACAACTCCCAGCAGCCTCCAAAGCTTGCTGCCATATTGGTACAGTCTCCACCCCCATTGACTGGGGATAGTTATAATTTTTTGGGGTTTCTTTAATGATAGAGCCCAGAGTACATAACAAGATAGCTACAACTCCTCATAGTGCTTGGAGATAAGGGAGTTGCTAACGCTGGCACTGCCTCAAAGACAGCTGGGAATTGTAGTTCTTTTTTTTTATTTTATTTTATTGAGACGGAGTTTTGCTCTGTCTCCCAGGCTGGAGTGCAGTGGCACAATCTCAGCTCACTGCAAGCTCTGCCTCCAGGGTTCACGCCATTCTCCTGCCTCAGCCTCCCGAGTAGCTGGGACTACAGGTGCCCGCCACCACGCCCGGCTATTTTTTGTATTTTTAGGGGTTTTACTAGAGCCTGGTGGATCCACAACTCCTAGTAATCACTTGGGTTTGCTGCTCCTTGGCTTCCCCGGGGTCAGCATGGCTCATGGGGAAGTAGGGAGTTCTCTGTCCCTTCCATGACCCTCTACCCTTCTTGTGGCTCCTACAGCGGCAGTCTTTCCCCCCTGTGTGCACCCACAATATGCTGGATGACTCCTCAGACCCCATCCTGACCACCATCCGCCGAATCGGCCTCTTCAATAGCAGTGCCGACAGGGTGAAGGTGAGGGCGTTTGGTCAGGGCTGGGTTGGGCACGGCAGAGGGAAGGGGTTGGGTCCTGGGTCTCACACACTCCATTCCCCCATACGTTTTATCAAATGCATTGCTGTGGTTAGAAGGAACCCTGGCTTCAAACAGACCTGGATTTGAACACTGGTCCTGCCAAACACATGCTGTGTGATGCTAGACAAGCTTTTTACCCTCTCTGGGCCACCTTGGGATCTCAGGGCTTAGCTAAACAAGGCGCCTGGGCTGAGCCCTTCTTTTTCACTACCAGGTGATTTTCCACCCGGAGTTCCTCTCCTCCACAAGCCCCCTGCTCCCGGTGGACTATGAGGAGTTTGTCCGTGGCTGTCACCTTGGGGTCTTCCCATCCTACTATGAGCCTTGGGGCTATACGCCGGGTGAGTGTAGTGGGCAGGGGACAGCGTGGTCATGGCGTCCTAGTCAGAGCTAGCATGTCCTGGGGCAAGGCACTGGCCTTCTCTGAGCCTGTTGCCTTCTTGGCAAAACAGGAACAATGGTAATCATCTGTTCTGCTACAGTGCCTGCTTTTGTGACACAATAGCTCATGTATTGAGAAACTAGAAGACTGGATTTTGAGGACTAGTTAGTGTCAAATGGATATCACAGGTCACACTGATTTGTCCCAGTGCATGGGCATTTGGCCCCCCAAATAGCAGCAATGAAATGCACAATTCACAAACACAGCTGAGTGTGGCCAAGTCTCCTCGCAAGACATTCCCAGTGCCCATCGACTCTACCTTCCTCTTGTTGGTTCACATTAGCCAGTGTTTTTAAAGCTAAATAAGGCCGGGCGTGGTGGCTCACGCCTGTAATCTTAACACCTGGGGAGGCCGAGATGGGCAGATCACAAGATCAGGAGTTTGAAATCAGCCTGGCCAATATGGTGAAAGCCTGTCTGTACTAAAAATACAAAAATTAGCCAGGTGCGGTGGTGCGCACCTGTAGTCCCAGCTACTCGGGAGGCTGAGGCAGAGAATTGCTTGAACTTGGGAGGTGGAGGTTGCAGTGAGCTGAGATCACGCCACTGTGCTCCAGCAGTGCAGTGCTCTGGGCGACAGAGCGAGACTCCATCTCAAAAATAAATAAATAAATAAATGAAAGCTAAATAAGTGCCGTTTCCTAATTAGTAATTCAACAAGTCTTGCAAACTGTGCTGGCATGATAATTAGGAGTCATGTGGTCAGCCCTAATTCCCTTTTTCCCATAGGGCTTGTTTTATAAATAGATAGATTGATAGATAGTATTAGTCTGTTTTTACACTGCTATATATAAAAAAACATCCAAGACTGGGTAATTTATCATGGAGAGAGGTGTAATTGACTCACAGTTCCACATGGCTGGGGAGGCCTCAGGAAACTCAGTCGTGGCAGAAGGGGAAGCAGGGAGCTTCTTCACCTGGCGGCAGGAAAGAAAAGTATGTGAGGGGGCGGGAAAAACGAACGTTTATAAAACCATGAGATCTTGTGAGAATTCACTCACTAGCATGAGAACAGCAGGGGGGGATCCACCCCCGTAATCCAATCATTTCCCTCCCTCGACACGTGGGGTTACATTTCAAGATAAAATTTGGTGGGGGGGGGGGAACACAGAGTCAAACTATATCATAAATATATATTTAATACTTTTTACTATTTGTTTGTGTTTTGAGATGGGGGTATTACTATGTTGCCCAGACTCACCTGGAACTCCTAGGTTCAGGTGATGCTCCTGCCTCAGCCCCTTGAGTGTCTGTTTTCCTCATTACAGGTGCACCCCGCCATGCCTCACAGACCTATTATATTTAGTGCCTATTTTTGCAGTTTACAGAGGTTTTTAGAAACACTTAAATAAGAATTCTAGATCAAGCCAGGCATGGTGGCTCACGCCTATAATCACAGCACTTTGGGAGGCCGAGGTGGGACGATCACTTGAGGACAGGAGTTTGAGACCAGCATGGCCAACATGGTGAAACCCTATCTCTACTAAAAATACAAAAGTTAACTGGGCATGGTGGCAGGCACCTGTAATCCCAGCCTCTCAGGAGGTTGAGATGGGAGAATCGTTTGAACCCCAGAGGCAGAGGTTGCAGTGAGCTGAGATCGTGCCACTGCACTCCAGCCTGGGCGACAGAGTCAGACCCTGTCTAAAATAATAATAATAATTATTATTATAATTATAGGTCAGGAGCAGTGGCTCACACCTATAATCCTAGCACCTTGGAAGGCTGAGGTGAGAGGATAACTTGAACCCAGGAGTTCAAGACCAGTCCGGACAACATGGTGAGACCCTGTCTCTATAAAAGATTTTTTTTTTCTTTTGAGACAGAGTCTTGCTCTATCGCCAGGCTGGACTGCAGTGGCACAATCTTGGCTCACTGCAACCTCCGCCTCCCAGGTTCAAGTGATTCTGCTTTAGCCTCCGGAGTAGCTGGGACTATAGGCAGGTGCCACCACACCCAGCTAATTTTTGTATTTTTAGTAGACACAGGGTTTCACCATATTGGCCAGGATGTTTTTTTTTCTTCTTGACCTCGTGATCCACCCGCCTCGGCCTCCTAAAGTGCTGGGATTACAGGCATGAGCCACCGTGCCTGGCCTTTTTTTTTTTCTTTCTTTTTTTTTTTAGCCAGCAGTAGTGTTGTGTGTTTGTAGTCCCAACTACTTGGGTGGCTGAGGTGGGAGAATTGCTTGAGCTTAGGAGGTCAAGGCTGCAGTGAGCTGTGATCAAGCCACTGTCCTCCAGCTTGGGTGATAAAGTGACACTTTGTCTCAAGGAAAAAAAAAATAGCATTGGGCCAGGCGCACTGGCTCACGCCTATAATCTCACCACTTTCGGAAGCTGAGATGGGTGGATCACCTAAGGTCAGGAGTTCGAGACCAGCCTGACCAACATGGTGAAACCCCGTCTCTACTAAAAATGCAATAATTAACTGGGCATGGTGGTGCACGCCTGTGGTCCCAGCTACTCAGGTGACTAAGGCACGGGAATCGCTTGAACCCGGGAGGTGAAGGTTGCAGTGAGCCGAGATTGTGCTACTGCACTACAGTTTGGGTGACAGAGTGAGACCCTGTCTCAAAAGGAAAAAAAAAAAGGCATAAAAATCCATCAAAAAATTATAATACATTCCTTGAACTATTTCTCAAGGTTGTTAAAGGTATTAAGACGCAGTAGATGCTCTGTACACAGGGATACTAATAATGAGAGACCTTATCTTACCCCCCATCAAAATAGACTAAGTCTGTACGAGATACTGGCACAAGAAAGGATCGTACAGGTTGTGAACAGTTAAGTAGTTAACAGATGGACCTTGGCCCAATCCTACAGCTTGTGAGAGTTAAGTCAAATGGACATCGGGACGCTCAATAAATTAGCATCCTTATCTCCCAACTATAGACTTTCTCGCATCCCGAATCCTTGGAGCAGAGCAAGTAATTCTCTTTTCTGAGCTTCTTAGCGTCCCCTCTGAGAAATAGGGAAATGCACAGCTTGGTTGTGGGGGCTCAGCGACGCTCCGCACAGCGACGCTCCGCACAGCGCCTGGCACTTGGTACAGGCGCCGGTAGAGGGCGCTGTTGAGGCGTCTATTGCGATTAAGACGGTAGGAGATGGGGGAAGCTAAGTGGGTCTCTTTCCTGCCTTCCCGCAGCTGAGTGCACGGTTATGGGCATCCCCAGTATCTCCACCAATCTCTCCGGCTTCGGCTGCTTCATGGAGGAACACATCGCAGACCCCTCAGCTTACGGTCAGCGCCCAGGCCCCTGAGGATTCCAGAAGGGGGCTTGAGAGCCGGGACTCCTGGATCCTGGGAAGGAGGAGCTTGCACCCTTGGGGACCAGGGGCACCAGGAAATGGGGGGGCTCTCGGGTCCCTGGGAGAGGAGGGGCCCTGGTGCCACAGAGTCCTGGAGACAATGAAGATCTCCCCAGGACGTTTTCTGAACCCAGGTCCTGGCCTCCGCAGGTATCTACATTCTCGACCGGCGGTTCCGCAGCCTGGATGATTCCTGCTCGCAGCTCACCTCCTTCCTCTACAGCTTCTGTCAGCAGAGCCGGCGGCAGCGTATCATCCAGCGGAACCGCACGGAGCGCCTCTCCGACCTTCTGGACTGGAAATACCTAGGCCGGGTAGGACCCCCCCCGCCCCGCCACTTCCTACCCTCTTCTGGGGAATCAGCCGCTCCTGGCTCTGGGTCTTTGGTGCAGGGTGAAGGGTCTCATCCTACTTGTAACAGTTGCTGTCCCTTTAAGCAATGAACCAGGCCGATCGCGGTGGTGGCTCATCCCTGTAATCCCAGCACTTTGGGAGGCCTAACAGGGAGGATCGCTTGAGCTCAGGAGTTAAGAGACCATCCTGGGCAACGTTTTCTTTCTACTAAAAATTTAAAAAAAAATCAGCCGAGTGTGGTGGTGCGTGCCTGTAGTCCCAGCTACTGGGGAGGCTGAGGTGGTAGAGTCTCTTGAGCCCTGGAGGTTGAGGCTGCAGTGAGCCTTGATCAACCCCACTGCACTCCATCCTAGGGTAACAGAGCAAGACCCTGTTTAAAAAGAAAAAAAGAACATTGGTCAGGCATTCTCATTTGCATAAAGGTATGGCCAAAGAGGTGCCTGACTTGAGAATTCGGCCCCTGTTTGAGGGGTGTGGCTTAGAAACTATCCATTCATAGATCTGCTTATTTACATAAGGGGTGGAGTCAGATGGATTATTTGCATGGGGCAGGCCCAATGGTGCAGCAGGGTATGCTCATCTGCATAAAGGGTATGGCCAGGAGCCCCATCATCTGCCTGGGGGTGGGGCCTGGCTCTCACATCCTCTGCCCCCTCCCCTCCTTTCCCCTAGTACTATATGTCTGCGCGCCACATGGCGCTGTCCAAGGCCTTTCCAGAGCACTTCACCTACGAGCCCAGCGAGGCAGATGCGGTGAGTGGACGCTGGATTTCTGCTTAGCCAGGAGCTAAAGGGCTGGGGGTCCCTCCTGGAATGGGAAGGCCTAGAGGTGGCTGGATGCCTGGGTGGGACTGCGAGGTCCTCAGCTCACCCTGGTTTGCACCCATATTCCCGTATGCAGGCCCAAGGGTACCGCTACCCACGGCCGGCCTCGGTGCCACCGTCGCCCTCGCTGTCACGACACTCCAGCCCGCACCAGAGCGAGGACGAGGAGGATCCCCGGAACGGGCCTCTGGAGGAAGACAGCGAGCGCTACGATGAGGACGAGGAGGCCGCCAAGGACCGGCGCAACATTCGTGCACCAGAGTGGCCGCGCCGAGCGTCCTGCACCTCCTCCACCAGTGGGAGCAAGCGCAACTCTGTGGACACGGCCACCTCCAGCTCGCTCAGCACCCCCAGCGAGCCCCTCAGCCCCACCAGCTCCCTGGGCGAGGAGCGTAACTAAGTCCCCCCCACCACACTCCCTGCCTGTCCTGCCTCCCTGCTCCAGAGAGAGGATGCAGAGGGGGGCTGCTCCTAAACCCCTGCTCCAGATCCGCACTGGGCGTGGCCCCGCAGTGCCCCCCCTCAGTCCGCCAAACACTCCGGCCCCTCCAGCTCCACTTTCCAAGTTCCTGCACTCCAGAATCCACAAAGCCGTGCCTTTCTCTGATTCCAGAGTGCATAATCCGCGCCCTGGAATCCCCTGGGCCTGGACCGCTTCCCAGAGGCCAGGAATCTGCCGTTACTCTGCGGTGGTGCCAGAGGTTTTAGGAAACCTGGCATGGTGCTTTCAGGTCTGGGGCTCCTAGAGTCCCTGTGAGGCTTGCAAATTCTACAGCACACAGAGCAGGCCACGCTCGGGCCGGGCATGCGGGCCACCAAGTGCTGGAAACCACATGGTGTCCCTGCGAATGGGGCAATCAAGTCCAGAGCCGGGGCACTTTTCAGAGTTTGAAGGTAACTGAGAGCAGATGGTCCTCCATTTCAACTCCAGAACTGGGGCTCTGGGATGGGCTCATATTCTAGCCCTCCCCGGCATGTCAGAGCCAGGCTCTGCCTGGAGGATCCCTCCATCCGGCTCCTGTCATCCCCTACGCTTTGGCCAAGCCAGAGGTGGCAGAACCACTTGGCCGCTCATTCCTTCTGGAGGACACACAGTCTCGGTCCAGATGCCTTCCTGCCTTTCTGGCCTTTTCTGGACCAGATCCTACTCCTCCTTTCTTTATCTGAGATCTCCCTCCAGGGAATCTGCCTGCAGAGGACAGAGCTGGCTGTCTACCCCCACCCCTAACCTGGCTTATTCCCAACCGCTCAGCCCACTGCGAAACCACTAGGTTCTAGGTCCTGGCTTCTAGATCTGGAACCTTACCACGTTGCTGCATACTAGTCCCTTTCCCATGATCCGGAACTGAGGTCACTGGGTTCTAGAACCCCCACATTTACCTCGAGGCTCTTCCATCCCCAAACTGTGCCCTGCCTTCAGCTTTGGTGAAAAGGAGGGACCCTCATGTGTGCTGTGCTGTGTCTGCACCGCTTGGTTTGCAGTTGGGAGGGGAGGGCAGGAGGGGTGTGATTGGAGTGTGTCCGGAGATGAGATGAAAAAAATACACCTATATTTAAGAATCCCAGGTGTGGTCAGACATGAATACTTGGGCCTGGGTCTGACGTCCCCCCAACGCCACCCCTTCCCTGGTCTGAGCTCATCCTCCTATTCTAGAGACTTGGATTTTGCTGTTCTAAAATTCCAGTGTCATTCACGGAAGGTACCTCTGATTGCTTACTTGGGCCTTGATTTGCAAGTGGCAAAAATTTGGCTTAAGACATCTTTGGCATAAAGGGGCTATGTGACTGGGAGGAAGATCTATAGGACAGCTGTGAACCTTGTGTAGCTTTTTTTTTTTTTTTTTTTTTGAGACAGAGTCTCGCTCTGTCACCAGCCTGGAATACAGTGGAGAGCAATCTCGGCTCACTGTAACCTCCGCCTCCTGGGTTTAAGCAGTTCTCCTGCCTTAGCCCCCTGAGTAGCTGGAACTACAGGAGCACGCCACTACACTGGGCTAATTTTTGTATTTTTAGTAGAGGCAGGATTTGACCATGTTGGCCAGGCTGTTCTCCAAACTCCTAAGCTCAGGTGATCTGCCTGCCTCGGCCTCCCAAAGTGCTGGGATTACAGGTGTGACCCACCGTGCCTGGCCACTTCTTTTTTTGATAACAGGATCTCCCTCTGAATCCCAGACTGGAGTGCAGTGGAGAAATCATGGCTCACTGCAGCCTCAACCTCCCAGGCTCAAGTGATCCTCTCACCTCAGCCTTCCAAGTAACGGGGACTATAGGCACGTGCCACCACACCTGGTTAAATTAATTTATTTTTTTTTAGAGAATGGGGGGTTCCCTATGTTGCCTAGGCTGGTCTCAAACTCCTGGGCTCAAGTGAGCCTCCTGCCTCAGCCTCCCAAAGTGCTGGGGTTACAGGCTTGAGCCACCCCGCCCCACCCCAGCCCCAGGGGAAGAAGGGGAGGAGTCAGAGCTGACAAAGCAGTTTTGCAGCTTGGACCCAGCAGATGCTTTTTAAGGCCTGTTTTCAGCTTTTTCAGTTCCCACTTGGAGAATCTGGCCCAAAGTTTCACATCCCATTTCTATGATGAACCCTAAACCCCTTGTCCAGCATTGCTTGGGCATCACGTGTGCCTGGCCGCTCAGCTCCGCTTGTCAGTTCCTCTCAGTGTGCGCCTCACATTGGGATTACTGAAGCTTGGGCCATAATCTGTAAACTCTGGAGCAAAGACCTCAGTGAGCCTCCTGGTTGCCATGCAAGTTGCACAGCAATAGCCTCAATGTGCCCATATAAAGGGCCTAATAATTTCAGCTGCCTCCCAGAATTGAGGGTTTTTTTTTTTTTTTTTGAGACAGAGTCTCACTCCATTGCCCTGTCTGGAGCACATTGGCGCGATATCAGCTCACTGCAACCTCCGTGAGGCAGATATGGTTTTTGGGTTTTTTTTGAGACCAGAGTTTCGCTCTTGTTGCCCAGGCTGGAGCGCAATGACGTTGATCTCAGCTCACCGCAACCTCCGCCTCCCAGGTTCCAGCGATTATCCTGCCTCAACCTCCTGACTAGCTGGGATTACAGGCATGCACCACCACACCCGGCTAATTTTGTATTTTTAGTAGAGGCGGGGTTTCTCCATGTTGGTCAGGCTGGTCTCGAACTCCTGACATCAGCTGATCGGCCCACCTGGCCTCATAATCACTCATTAAATAGTGCTGTTTCTGGCTGAAACCGAACAGATCTGTGTCCAGGTACCAACCTAGGTCTTAATTCAACTCCCTGGAGGCTATCTCTACCATCTGGGAGGGACAGTTAACAGCCAGGCAAGCAGAGAACCCTCAAGTTCAACACTACCCAGATAGCTTCTTGTCTTAGAAGAGATAAGAAAATGGGAGATGGGGCCAACTCCTCTTTCACTGGCATCCCCAACCCAGCCAGAAGCTTTATGAGAACAGATCCCACCTCATCTTCCATACCACACACAAAACCACCAACTGCATCAAAAAGCTTTATTTCCATTTGGTCCAAGGCTTGTTAGGGTCGTTAAGAAAGCTGCCTAGTGGCTGGAGGGAGAGGCTTAGGCAGAAGCCCTATTATTTTGCAAGGGGCCCTTCAGAAGTCGCTGGGCTCAGAAAGCTCTTAGTCGTGCTTGAGAGTGAGCCTTTCGAAGAGATACTCGCCCAGCCCAGCCTCCGGGCCGGCCAGCCTGTTGAGGTTGGTCAGGTGGTCACCCATCTTTTTGATGAGCTTCACTTCCTCATCTAGGAAGTGAGTCTCCAGGAAGTCACAGAGCTGAGAGAGAAGAGGGAGAAATTAGAAACCCGATCCCTGCCGGGCGCGGTGGCTCAAGCCTGTAATCCCAGCACTTTGGGAGGCCGAGACGGGCGGATCACGAGGTCAGGAGATCGAGACCATCCTGGCTAACACGGTGAAACCCCGTCTCTACTTAAAAAAAAAAAATACAAAAAACTAGCTGGGCGAGGTGGCGGGTGCCTGTAGTCCCAGCTACTTGGGAGGCTGAGGCAGAATGGCGTGAACCTGGGAGGCGGAGCTTGCAGTGAGTCGAGATCCGGCCACTGCACTCCAGCCTGGGCGACAGAGTGAGACTCCGTCTCAAAAAAAAAAAAAGGAAACCCGATCCCTGGAAAAGAGGGAGAAAGAGCTGCCAGTTGCAGATTAAAATATGACAGGTGTTAAATGAGGCTCTGAAGGGAATTTGCCCAAAGAGAGCAAAGGCTTGAGGGGTATGGTTGGGTAGCCATGGATGCAGGGGGTACGTACATGGGGATCCGTGTGGGCAGAACCCAGGGCATGAAGATCCAAAAGGGCCTGATTCAGTTTTTTCTCCAGGGCCATGGCGGCTTTCATGGCATCCGGGGTTTTACCCCACTCATCTTCAGCTGGCTTCTATACAGAAGGGAGAAACGGCTTCAGAATACACACACTCGGCACATGGAACTAAACCTACATTTCCCAAGAGTTGGTGGGGGTCAGAGGCCCAGGCCACAAAGACATGTGACAGCTTGTATTTATCACTCTCCGCACCCCGTCCTAGCTCTTACAGCTACACGTCCTTAAGTCTACGCAGCAGTGTGGACTGCCGCGTCCTGGGGGCACTGCACGACGTGCGCCTCTATTTCCAGCCGTAAAAGGGCTCACAAGACCGAACTCAATCTCCCCGAAGCCCACGCGACATCTAAGCCCTCAAATCAAGGCTCCTCGCGCGCACGGCCTGCTGGGAGATGTAGTCCGTTACCCTACCCACACACTAGTTACCTTGACGTCCTGAAAAAGAGCGCGGCCGCCACGCTGGTTTTGCATCTTCAGGAGACGCTCGTAGCCCTCGCGCTTCTCCTCGGCCAATTCGCGGAAGAAGTGGCTCACGCCTTCCAGAGCCACATCATCGCGGTCGAAATAGAAGCCCTAAGGAAAGAGATGGAGGGAACAACGCTTAGCGGGAGGCGAGGCCAAGGGGGACTCCGCCCTCTGTTTACTCGACCGGACAAAGAAGGCCGGCGCCTGCGCTGAGGGCCGAACGTGCGCAGCTGGGGGAAATTAGGGCCAGGGGCGTCCTGGGGACTCACCAGAGAGAGGTAGGTGTAGGAGGCCTGCAGGTACATATTGACCAGGCTGTTGACGGCTGCCTCCACGTCGGTGGAATAATTCTGACGAATCTGGGAGCTCATGGTTGGTCGGCAAGACGGAGCTAACCACAAAAACGGTGCTGGCAGGTCCCAGAAGCAGGAGATGGCCGAGAAGATGGTCCCGGAGGTTGCAAGTGGAGAGGAAATCGGAGGGCGCTCGGAGGCTGGAAGAAAGAGTCCCCGGATCTGTTCCGTCCAAACACTGTTGAAGCAAGAGACAGACCCGCGGGACCGCCGAACTGCGAGGGGACGTGGCTAGGGCGGCTTCTTTTATAGTGCGCTGGCCCTCGGAGGCGGGGCGCTCGGAGCGGGCTATCGGCCAATCTGCGGTGGCAGGAGGCGGGGCCGAAGGCCGTGCCTGACCAATCCGGAGCACACAGGAGTCTCAGCCCCCGCCCCAAAGCAGGGGGAAGTCACGCGCCTGCAGCGCGAGTGTGTTGTGAAATGGGGGCTTGCGGGGGTTGGGGCCCTGGGGCCGATTCGAGGAATGGAGGGTTTCGTGGGCGGGGGGGTGGGGGCTGGGGTTCCTCTGGGAGGCTATAGTTTTATGGGAGCATTGAGAGTCCTGTGAACTGATGACCCTGGGGTCCTGGGGGTGCCTCGGGAAAGTAAGTCAGATTGTGGGGTTTCGGAGGGCATGGATTTTTCTGGAACCTTGAGTGGGGGAGGGGCAACTCAGAGGTGCGGGGAGGACCTGTAGTTGCCTGAGGTTTGTGCTGCGAGATAAGGAGTCTCCGGATCCTTGGGAAGCTTGGAAGGCAGTGAGGTGGTATTTCTGGACCCCTGGGGATCTCTGGGAGACAGAGGGGTGCGAGGACTGGAGTCCTGGGCTTTACAGAGGTGGGAGTTCACGATGCAAACTCTATATTTTGGAGCCCTCCCCGGGGAGATCTTTAGGTCCTTGAGGTGCTCTGCAAGTTGGAAAGGGCAGTTGTTCTGGAGCCGTGGGGTTCCCCAGTGCGGGAAGCCCAGGAGGAGCATTGTATGAGGTAGGGTGACTTCTGGAACCCCGGACAGCCCTCGGAAACCCTCCAAAGACTGGCTGGGACTTTGGGGATACCTTGGAGCTCTTTCAAGGGCCCAGTCGTTTTCTGGGAGTGGAAATGGGGAGGAATGAAATGTCTGTTTCGAGCTTTGCGGTGTCTCTGGGACTGCGTGTCCTGGGGGCTGTTTTGGAGGCAACTCACAGACTCCGAGAATTCTCCTTGGCCCTGAAATCAGTGTCTCCGCAGTTGCCGTCGTGTCTTGCCTGACGTGTGCTCTTTCAGGCCCACAAAGAGAAGCCCTGCGTTGTGGACACACAGTCTGGGGACCTATGGACGAGACGTCTGTCTACAACTAATGCGTATTTTTTTTTTTTTTTTTTTTTTGAGACAGAGTCTGGCTCTGTTGCCCAGGCTGGAGTGCAGTGGCCGGATCTCAGCTCACTGCAAGCCCCGCCTTCCAGGTTCACGCCATTCTCCTGTCTCAGCCTCCCGAGTAGCTGGGAGTACAGGCGCCCGCCACCTCGCCCGGCTAATTTTTTTTTGTATTTTAGTAGAGACGGGGTTTCACCGTGTTTGCCAGGATGGTCTCGATCTCCTGACCTCGTGATCCGCCCGTCTCGGCCTCCCAAAGTGCTGGGATTACAGGCTTGAGCCACCGCGCCCGGCCTCTCTAATGCGTATTTTTTAAGCGGACCTGGTCCATGTTGATTTCTGGGAGACGGAGTCGGCGCAAACCTTGACCCTGCTTAAGTGCCCCGATGGAGGTAGCCCGTGCGCTGGGCAGGGAGCTGAAGCCACTGGGGCGTGGGGTGTGAGGTCAGGCCCTGCCCTACAGAGGAGCCGCTCCGAGCAGCCCAGGCAGGGCAGCCCCTGACCGAGGGGATCTGCAGATGCCTCGTCAGGCCGGTATCTGGGGTCCTTGTTGCAGGCAGCGACTGCTGAGTCATGCTGAGCTCAGCGCGGGAAGGGGCCCCCCCGCGGGGACGGATGTGGGTGGGGCCACTCACTGACCTCATCCCCTTGGCACTCCCCGACTTTTTTGGTGGGACCCTCAGAACTAGACCTGGCTCAGACCCAAATCGGGCCCCTTCCCCCCAGGTCCCCCCTTGTTGGAAGCCGGCTGTGTGCTTTGTCTCCGTGTCGTTTTGGTTCCCATGTTTTTTTCTTTTTTTCCTGGGATCCTGCCTGTGGCCATATTGTCCCCTCACTCTGGGTGGTGGCTCAGTGTACACTCATTGATCCTATTTCCTCTCTCCCCTGACTTGGGGTCTTTGGGAAGAGTCCATGGAGGAGGGACAGCCGCCCAAAGCACCCGGTTGACTGTGGGACCTGAGTTACTCATTTACCAAATGTCATACCTCAGCCCAGAGACCTTTAGTCCCGAGAGGGGCCTTGGGGCCCATAGGTGGAGGTGGAGGAGGGGCTGAGAGAGACAGGATCTGAAGACCATAGAGAACGTGGGGTGGGGACACAGAGGCCCAGAGAAAAAGCGACTCAGACAAAACCCTGAGAGAGAGGGGACAGAAACCTAGAGAGAGGGGGACAGAAACCTAGAGAGAGGGGGACAGAGAGCCAGAGAGAGGGGGGGACAGAGACCCAGAAAGAGGGAGACAGAGACCCTGAGAGAGAGGGGGACAGAAACCTAGAGAGAGGGGGACAGAGAGCCAGAGAGAGAGGGGGACAGAGATCCAGAGAGAGGGGGGGACAGAGACCCAGAAAGAGGGAGACAGAGACCTGAGAGAGAGGGGACAGAAACCTAGAGAGAGGGGGACAGAGAGCCAGAGAGAGAGGGGGACAGAGATCCAGAGAGGGGACAGAGAGCCAGAAAGAGGGAGACAGAGACCCTGAGAGAGAGGGGGACAGAAACCCAGAGAGAGGAGGACAGGGGTGGGAGGGGAACAGAGGCAGGGAGGTACAGAGACCCGGGGGTTGGGGGGACAGAGGCCCAGAGGGACCCCGGAGGGAGTAGAAATCCAGAGCAGGGGTACAGATCCAGAGAGAAGGGGGGGCAGACAGAGATCCAGAGAGAGGTGGGGTCAGAGACCCAGAGAGAGGGGAAACAGGGACTCAGAGAGAAGGGGACAGGGACTAGGTGGAAAAACAGAGACCCAGAGAGAGGGTGGGACAGGGATGAGGGGGGACAGAGACAGGGCGGGGGAGAAGAGACCCAGAGAGAGGGGAGGTACAGAGACCCAAGAGAGGGGGACAGAGACCCAGAGAGAGGGGGACAGAGACCCAAAGAGAGGAGGACAGAGACCCAGAGAGGGAGGGGGACAGAGACTCAGGGTGGGGGGACAGAGACACAGAGAGAGATGGGGGGCCAGAGATTCAGAGGGGGGCCAGAGGTCTGGGGATGGGGGGTGGAAAGAGCCCAGAGAAAGAGGGCCAAAGGTGGGGTGGGAACAGAGACTTGGAAAGCAAAGACCCAGAGAGAGAAGTGGGGACAGAGACCCAGAGATGGGAGGGGGTAAAGACCCAGAGGGGAATGACAGAGCCAGAGAGAGGGGGCGCCAGAGACTCTGACTGAGAACCCACATCCTCTAACCCCCTTGTCTTCGCTCGGCCCTTGTCTGAGGTCACTGGGCCTCTGAGTTCGGCACCTTCTTCCGGGAGTTCCTCTCCAGGGGGGCCCCACCCAGCCGTGGGGCCAGACCAGGTTCCTCCGCCTCTGCCCTGCCCTCCAGCCTCTCTGTCCTCAGCCCAGCTCAGGAGGCCTCTCCCATGGGCTCTCTTGCCCTGGTGTCCTCAGCCTGCCACCTTCCAGTCACCCCAGGCTCCAGAGCCCTTCCTGCTTCCCTGGTCCTACCATCCCTCCTCCTCCCACCCCCATTCTCCAGCTCCATAAAGGTATGGCCTCCTGAGGTCCCATGTGTGACACTCCAGGCTCTGGTCCCAGGCTCTGGAGGCTTGCTGTGCAGCCAGCTGTGCTGTTCTTCCCCCTACCCACACGCCTGCTCAGGCCTCACAGGCCACTGCCTCTGTCCTGCACAGATCGTCCTGGGCTGCGACAGATGTGCCACCAGTCACCTTCGTTTCCCTTCACGACTGTGGGCTCCTGCAGGGTAGGCCCGGGACCAACTCATCCCTAACCCGCAGACCCCAATGGGCACCCCAGAAAAAGATGTCAAGGGAGTGCAGAGAGCCCCACGTCCCTGAGTGGCCCGAGCAGGTATCTCTCGGTGAGCAGACGGCAGGCCTGGCATGGGGCGGCGGGCAGGGCCTGCTCTCCTGATGTGCCAGAGAGCGGGGCAGAGGCCCAGTGACTCAGATGCCGAAGTATGTCCCGAAGGAGGTTTATTACCCCCTCAAGACCACTCTTCCCCACCCCCCCAATAATTACAAAAGTAAGAAAAATGCCCATGTCCCCCAATCCCCACCCCTCCCAGAAAAATGCCATAATTTATGGAGGAAAAACACAGTTCAAGGCAGCTGGGGGCCTCAGCCCATCTTCTTCCAGATGGTGAGGGAGGCGGTGAGTACTCCAGCCACCAAGATGGTCACGGTCTGCCACGTGGGCGTCCCAAAGTAGGAGAGGAGGCCGTCCTGGAGACAGGGACATCAGTCGCTTCAGCGACTCGGCCAGGGGCAGCCCCTGGGCAGGCACAGGCAGGATCAGGGAGGCAGGAGGAGGTCAGAAGGCAGGATTGTGGGCAGGGGACTAACATGAATGGGCATTGAAGAGCTGGGCTCAGGCCAGGCATGGTGGCTCACACCTGTAATCCCAGCACTTTGAGAGGCTGAGGCAGGAGGATCGCTTGAGGCCAGGAGTTCGAGACCAACCTGGGCAACATAGCGACACCCCCTTCTCAGTGGGGAAAAAAAAAAGACAGAGTTGGGGTCAGAGGATCATCAATGAACTTGAGCAATTCCGGAGGCAGTGGAGGCTCCAGGGAGGGCAGAAGGCACTAATCAAGTCAAGGTCACAGTGAGGTCAGAGGTCACCGGGAGGTCAGTGGGATAGATGAATCAGGGATTGATCAGACACATAAGGAAATGCATTATAGACCACATCTGACGATCCGAAGATGGGGAGAGGGCACCACTGTGACCGGCTCCAGAAGGCCCAGGGTCCCAGAGGAGTGGCGGGTGGGCAGGGACAGTGGGGCAGGGGCGGTGGTTGGGGTGAGGAGGGTTGAGGAGTCTCACCCAACCACCCTGGTCTTGGATCCAGCCCAACAGCCGCTCCCGGAGGAAGTCCAGCGTCCAGCCCATGATGGTTCTGATCAGTTCGGGCACCTTGGTACACAGGGCCTGTGGGGAGTGGAGTGAATGTTAGGGACCGAACCTTGTCCCCAATGCCTGGGGATAGTGGCCCCCAGCCTCCTTTCTCAATTCTTTGCCTCCCCTCAAAGATTTCTGCCACCCACAATTGAAGTCGGCTTCAAATATTGTAAACATGGCCAGGAGCACCAGCTCATGCCTGTAATCCCAGCACTTTGGGAGGCCAAGGCAGGTGGATCATTTGAGGTTGGGAGTTCAAGAACAGCCTGACCAACACGGAGTAACCCCATCTCTACTAAAAACACAAAATTAGCCGGGCATGATGGTGCATGCCTGTAATCCCAGCTACTTGGGAGGCTGAGGCAGGAGAATCGCTTGAACCCGGGAGGCGGAGGTTGCGGTGAGCCGAGGTCGCGCCATTGCACTCCAGCCTGGGCAACAAGAGCAAAACTCCATCTCAAAATAAACAAATAAATACAAAAATTAGTTGGGTGTGGTGGCAGGCACCTGTAATCCCAGCTCCTTGGGATGCTGAGGCAGGTGAATCGCTTGAACCCAGGGGGCAAAGGTTGCAGTGAGCCCAGATCACACCACTTCACTGCAGCCTGGGCAATAGAGCAAGAGTCTTGTCTCAAAAAATAAATTAATTAATTAAATAAAATTGTAAACAAGATCATGTTACTCTCAACTGCCCCATCCCTGAGCCTTCTGTGGCTCCCCAGTACCCTCAGGATGAAGACCTGAAAGCACAACGCAGCCCACAAGCCCTGTGTGCAGGCTCTAGCCTGACCTCACTCCACCTTTCCACTTCCTGTTTTGTGCCTCACTGAGCTGCTTCCATTTTTTTTTTTTTTTGAGACGGAGTCTCGGTCTGTCGCCCAAGCTGGAGTGCAGTGGCCGGATCTCAGCTCACTGCAAGCTCCGCCTCCCGGGTTCACGCCATTCTCCTGCCTCAGCCTCCCGAGTAGCTGGGACTACAGGCGCCCGCCGCCTCGCCCGGCTAGTTTTTTGTATTTTTTAGTAGAGACGGGGTTTCACTGGGTTAGCCAGGATGATCTCGATCTCCTGACCTCGTGATCCGCCGGTCTCGGCCTCCCAAAGTGCTGGGATTACAGGCTTGAGCCACCGCGCCCGGCCCATTTTTTTTTTTTTTTAAGATGGAGTCTTGCTCTGTCACCCAGGATGCAGTGCAGTGGCGCAATCTTGGCTCACTGAAAGCTCTGCCTTCCGGGTTCAAGCAATTCTCCTGCCTCAGCCTCCCAAAGAGCTGGGATTACAGGTGCGTGCCAACATGCCTGGCTAATCTTTTTTTTTTTTTTGAGATGGAGTTTTGATCTTGTTGCCCAGGCTGGAGTGCGATAGCGCAGTCTCGGCTCATTGCAACCTCCACCTCCCGGATTTAACTTATTCTCCTGTCTGAGCTTCCCAAGCAGCTGGTATTACAGACATCTGCCACCACACTGGGCTAATTGTTTTTTGTATTTTTAGTACAGACAGGTTTCACCATGTTGGTCAGGATGGTCTCAAACTCTTGACCTTAGATGATCCGTGTGCTTCAGCCTCCCGAAGTGCTGATGTGAACCATCGCGCCCGGCCCCATTTTTTTTTTTTTTAATTTAAAAAATTCCCATCAAATTCTTCCTGCCTCGGGACCTCTTCTTGTGCTCCTGTTTCCACCTAAACAGGCCTCGACCAAGCAAATTCTCACCCTTCAGCGCTCAGCGCAAATGTCACTTCCCCAGAGAGGAATTTTCTTTTTTTTCTTTTTTTTTTTTGAGACGGAGTCTCGCTCTGTCGCCCAGGCTGGAGTGCAGTGGCCGGATCTCAGCTCACTGCAAGCCCCGCCTCCCGGGTTCACACCATTCTCCTGCCTCAGCCTCCCGAGTAGCTGGGACTACAGGCGCCCGTCACCACGCCCACCTAATTTTTTGTATTTTTAGTAGAGATGGGGTTTCACCGTGTTAGCCAGGATGGTCTCGATCTCCTGACCTCGTGATCCGCCTGCCTCGGCCTCCCAAAGTGCTGGGATTACAGGCGTGAGCCACTGCACCCGGCCAGAGAAGACTGGCCCCTGCCCATGGATCCCTGACCTTCTCTCCCGACTCCCAAGACTTCTCCTTCAGCCTTTATCTGGCCACCTCTATTCTGTCATCCCCGCTCTGTAGGTGGCCCCACCATCACCTGCACTACTATTCCCCTCACTGCCAACGTTCAAGCCCCATCAGCTCAATCTTGAAAACACATCAAGAAATAATTCCTCTTGGCCGAGCGCGGTGGCTCACGCCTGTAATCCCAGCACGTTGGGAGGCTGAGGCAGGCAGATCACCTGAGGTCAGGAGTTCGAGAACAGCCTGCCAACATGGTGAAACCCCATCTCCACTAAAAATGCGAAAATTAGCCAGGTGTGGTAGCGGATGCCTATAATCCCAAGCAACTCTGGAGGCTGGGGCAGGAGAATCGCTTGAACCCAGGAGGTGGAGGTTGCAGTGAGCCGAGATCGCACCATTGTACTCTAGCCTGGGTGCAACAAAGCGAGACTCCATCTCAGAAAAAAAAAAAGAAACATCCCTCCCATTAGCTGGTGTGGTGGGGAGCGCCTGTAATCCCAGCGTCTCAGGAGGCTGAGGTAGGAGAATCGCTTGAACCCGGGAGGTCGAGACTGCAGTGAGCCAAAGTCACGCCACTGCACTTCAGCCTTGGTGACAGAGCAAGACTCTGTCTCAAAACAAACAAACAAACAAACAAAACTTCCAAAAAGAAATATCCCTCCCTGTTGGAGACCAGCCTGGACAACATAGCGAGACCCCATCTCTACAGAAAAAGGCTAATGCCACAGTTAGTGGGGCATGGTGGCATGCTCCTGTAGTCCCAGCTACTCTGGAGGCTGAGGTGGGAGAACTGCTTGAGCCTAGCAGTTTGAGGCTGCAGTGAGCTATGATCACTACTGCACTCCAGTCTGGGCAACAGAGCAAGACCCCACCTCTTTAAATCCCCCCCACCCACCTCTGCTGCTACCACCCGGGCCTGGGCTTGTCATCTTTCAGCAAGACTATGATAGGTGCCACCTCTCCAGCCTCCTTGCTTCAGCCTTTGTACCCCATGATCTCTTTTTGGCCAACAGCCAGGATCATTTCACCACCTCCCCCACCATATTTCCTTATGAGAATCTTCATAAAGAAAAGTGAAAAGAATTCCACAGTTAACAGCCATATAACCGCCACCTAGATTCTACAATGAACATTTTGCTATATAGACAGTCCCCAACTTATGATGGTTTGACTTACAATTTTGATCCTACTATGGGTTTATCAGGAGATTGAATGCATTTTCAACTTATGTTTTTTCAATTTATGATGGGAATACTAGGATGTAACACCATTGCAAGTCAAGGGGCACCTATACTTCCTAGAATAATCCCTTAAATTCATAAATCAGGTCACGTCACTTCCATATTTAAAACCAGCCAATCACTCCCATCACACTCAGAGTAAATTTAAAGTCTTTCCAGGCCGGGCGCAGTGGCTCACGCCTGTAATCCCAGCATTTTGGGAGGCCAAGGTGGACGGCTCACTTGAGGCCAGGAGTTTGAGACTAGCCTGGCCAACACAGCAAAACCCCGTCTGTACTAAAAATACAAAAGCTAGCCAGGCATGGTGGTACGTGCCTGTAATTCTAGCTACTTGGAAGGCTAAAGCATGAGAATCACTTGAACCTGTGAGGTGGAGGTTGCAGTGAGCTGAGATGGTGCCATTGCACTCCAGCCTCGGCAACAAAGCGAGACTCTGTCTCCAAAAAAAAAAAAAAAAAGTCTTTCCAGCAGCCCAAAAAACTCCACACAATCTGCCCCTGCCCAACTGTGCCCTCCTTTCCCACCGTCTCCCCCAGCTCACTCTGTCCAGCAGCACTGGCTTCCTCCCTACCGTCAAAACACAGGCTTGGTCCTACCTCAGGGCCTTTGCACTTGCTGTTCCCTCTACCGGATGCCTCTTCCCCCGATCACTATAGATCAGTGCATCCTTCTTGTCATTCCAACTTTGGCTTTAATGTCACCTGCTCTTAGAAGTCTTTCCTGGCTGGTTGCAGTGGCTCATGCCTGTAATCCCAGCACTTTGGGAGGCCAAAGTGGGTGGATCATATGAGGTCAGGAGTTCAAGACCAGCCTGACCAACATGGTGAAACCCTGTCTCTACTAAAACTACAAAAAAAAAAAAAAAAAAAAAAAAAAAGCTAGCCAGGGATAATGGTGCACACCCGTAATCCCAGCTACTTAGGAGGCTGAGGCAGGAGAATCGCTTGAACCTGGGAGGCAGAGGTTGCAGTGAGTCAAGATCGTGCCATTGCACTCCAGCCAGGGCAACAAGAGCAAAACTCCATCTCAAAAAAAAAAAAAAAAAAAAGGCCGGGCGCGGTGGCTCACGCCCGTAATTCCAGCACTTTGGGAGGCCAAGGCAGGCGGATCACAAGGTCGGGAGATCAAGACCATCCAGGCTAACACGTTGAAACCCTGTCTCTACTAAAAATACAAAAAAAAAATTAGCTGGGCGTGGTGGTGGGCTCCTGTAGTCCCAGCTACTCGGGAGGCTGAGGCAGGAGAATGACGTGAACCCAGGAGGCGGAGCTTGCAGTGAGCTGAGATCCCGCCACTGCACTCCAGGCTGGGCGACAGAGCAAGACTCTGTCTCAAAAAAAAAAAAAAAAGAAGTCTTTCCTGACCACTCTGCTAAATCACACTGCCCCCTTTACTTCACCCCTGTACGTCAAGTCCCTGAGAGCAGGGATGCAGCCTGCTTTGTACGGTGCTGTGTCCCAGGTGCCAGCTACAGGCCTGGCACACAGCAGGCCCAGTAAATGCTTGTTGAATGAATAAAAGAAGCAGACACCCAGTGCACAGCCATCTCTCTCCATGCCCTCTGTGGTCACTGGGCCACTGCAGGGGGTTGATCCCACGATCCCCAGGGCCTCACAGGTCTGAGGGGAGCACCCCTGGGCTCACTGCCCTGCAGCTGCCCACCTTGAGCACCAGTTTGCTGGCAAAGTAGAAAAGGGCGACAACACGGCCCCAGTTGAAGTTGCCGTCAGAAAACATGTCAGCTGCCACTCGGAAAAAGACCTCTCGGGGGGAGTCTGTGTCCACGGCGGCAATCATCCTGCAGGAGAGAGGAGAACCAGTGCCGGGGAGCGAGCATCAGGCTGATGGTGGAAATCCCCACATCCACCGCACACTAAAGATGAGGAGACTGAGGCCCAAGCCAGGCTGAAATGAAAAACAACAGGCCAACGGGGGGCAAGGGAAAGGGACGAGACAGACATCGAGGAAGGTGGGAAAAATGACTCCCTGAAGGAGGGTTTTAAGATCCTGGCGGAGGGGACGGCTGGGAGTCCAGAACGCTTGCGCTGAGTTGTAGGGCCCAGACTTCTAGTTCTTAGGGGAGGAGGAGAATGCGGGGCTGAGACTCCTGCGTTCTCAGGGAGCCCAGTGGCTGGATTTCTGGGTCCCGGGGCCCACACCTCTGCAGCTCCATGTTACTGTCCAGTTCGTCCCCGATGCGCTTGAGACACTCGCTCAGCCTCTTGGTGGACGCATCCTGAGGCACCGGGTCCAGGGCCAGCTCGGGTGTCTCCCCCCCCATTCGCCCTGCTCGATCCTGGATGAAACTAGAGTGGGGATGGAGTGAGGGTGCAGAATCAGAACGGGGTGTCACTCCTCAAATCTGTGCCACAATAATCAGACCTCAAACTCACCCCTGAAGCAAAAGGGCCCCTGTCTTCATGATCTGCTCAGAGCTGGTGGGCCCTAGAGGAGAAAGGAAGGGAAGAGGTGCCTGGACTCCTGGGTTCTAGGGGATCAGGAGGCTGTGGAGGCTCACGGTCCCTGAGGGAGGGCAGAGCTGGGGACCCTGGACTTCTGGGACCCTACCAGATAAAGTGACGGGGGTGCCCAGACAACTGAGTCCCTGATGGAGAAAGGCTAGGAGGCTGGGCCTGTATCCTACATTCTCCCTGGGGAAAGAGGGTAGCGGAACACTAAATGCATCCCGACCCCTGGCCTGAGGGGGCAGAGGCGAGACCCGCCCCTCCCACCAGTGCCAGAGGCAGGAAGTGGTGCGGGCGACAAGCCCGGGCCTGCCCGGGGGCTTGGCTTCCGAGATCCCCTAGTTCTTGGGGGTCTGAGAGCGCCAGACAGGCAGGGATCGGGGTACGGGGATCAGAGAGCCAGGAACCTCCGAGGACGGAGGGGGCTGGAGTCTGGCAGCGCCCGATCCGGGAGTTTCTGCCCCTCAATGCTTGGAGATCGCACAGCCCCAGGCCGAGAGGAAGGATCCTGGGACCCGCCGGCGAGGGGGCTCGCCCTCCTCCCGCCCGTCTGCCTCCCGCCTCACCCCCGCCTCTGGGCTGCTCCCCGGACCCGTCCATCACCGCCGCTCCCGCCGCCGCCTCTCGCCGGGTCCGCGCGGGCGGCCGCAGCGCGCCCCGGGTCACGTGAGAGCCACACTGAACGTGCGTCCCTCACGTGGCCGCCCCGCAAAATGGCCGCTGCCCCGCAGCGCCGCCGGGTCACGTGACCGCACCTGCCTCGCTCCCTCGGGAGGCTTAGTCCCATCACGTGACTGTCCAATGAGCGTGTCCCAATAAGTGCCTGCCGTGGCGCCATCCAACAGACGCCCGTCCAGTCGCAACTCTGATGCCTTCATTTATCCAGGCACCATTTTTAGAAGTTTCGGGCAGGGTTTGAGCTCTCCCCAGCGCAGAAGGAATAGCAAGTGCAAAGGGTCAGAGGCGCAAAATAGCGTGCTTCCAGGCAGGACGTTGTAGATGACTAAAAACTGAGTGGTTTTGTTTTTGGTAGAGACCTGGATCTCGCTATATAGCCCACGCCCAGGCTTGTCTCTTAACTTGTGAGTTCAAGAGATACCGCCGTCTCAGCCTTCCAAAGCGCTGGGATTACAGGCATGAGCTACCGCGCCCGTCCTGCTTTTCTGTTGTTTGTATGTTTGTTTGTTTGTTTTGAGTCAGGGTCTGGCTGTGTTGCCCAGGCTGGAGTGCAGTGGCCCAATCATGGCTCACTGCAGCCTGGAATTCCCGGGCTCAAGCCTCCCACCCCAGCCTCCTAAGTAGCTGGGACTACACCACCCCTGGTTAATTTTTTTAAATTTTTTTGTGGAGATGAGGTCTCTCTACGTTGCTCAGGCTGGTCTCTGAAATCCCAGGCTCAAGTGATCCTCGCATCTTGGCCTCCCAAAGTGCTGAGATTACAGGCTTCAGCCACCCCACCCAGTCATGACTCGAGTGTTTGTGTTTGTATAAAAAGAAAAGGAATATGAAGTTCAAAAAGTGACAAAAACTAATCTGTGCTGATAGATCAGCAGGGTGTGGAAGGGAGGGGCCACAAGAGAGACTCCCCAGGTGCCCCAAATATGCCATATTTTTATCTGAATGGTGTTTGCATGGGTATACACTTATTATATTATTATTATTATTATTGTTTTGAGATGGAGTTTCGCTCTTGTTACCCAGGATGGAGTGCAATGGCACAATCTCGGCTCACTGCAACCTCTGCCTCCCAGGTTCAAGCGATTCTCCTGCCTCAGCCTCCCAAGTAGCTGGGATTGCAGGCATGAGGCACCACGCCCAGCTAATTTTGCATTTTTAATAGAGATGGGGTTTCACCAAGTTGGTCAGGCTGGTCTCAAGCTCCCGACCTCAAGTGATCCACCTGCCTCGGCCTCCCAAAGTGCTGGGATTACGGGCGTGAGTCACTGTGCCCGGCCAGGTATACACATATTTACAATTCATTGAGCTGTACACATAAGACTTGTGTGCTTTGTGAATACTATGACGTGTCACTTTAGAAAGAAAATAATAGCAACTAAGGAAAACTCAGAAAAATGAGCTAGGATCAGATGATAAAGGGGTTGGGCCTATCAGAGAAGGGACTTGATCTATGTCCAGAAGGCAGCTGGGAACCATGGGAAAGTTTTGAGCAGGCAAAGGGCAGAGTCAGACGAGGGTGTCAGGACGATCTCTTGGACTTCCTTCTTTCTCAAAAGAGCTCCTGGTTGGGCGCAGTGGCTCACTTCTGTAATCCCAGCACTTTGGGAGGCCAAGACGGGTGGATCACCTGAGGTCAAGAGTTTGAGACCAACCTGGCCAACATGGCGAAACCCCATCTCTACTAAAAATTCAAAAGTAGGCCGGGCGCGGTGGCTCAAGCCTGTAATCCTAGCACTTTGGGAGGCCGAGGCGGGTGGATCACGAGGTCAGGAGATCGAGACCATCCTGGCTAACATGGTGAAACCCCGTCTCTACTAAAAATACAAAAAAAAAAAACTAGCCGGGAGTGGTGGCGGGCGCCTGTAGTCCCAGCTACTCGGAGGCTGAGGCGGGAGAATGGCGTGAACCCGGGAGGTGGAGCTTGCAGTGAGCTGAGATCGTGCCACTGCACTCCAGCCTGGGCGACAGAGCGAGACTCCGTCTCAAAAAAAAAAAAAAAAAAAAAAATTCAAAAGTAGCCAGGTGTGGTGACAGGCACCTGTAGTCCCAGTTACTCGGGAGCTGAGGCAGGGGAATCTTCGGAATCTGGAGGCAGAGGTTGCAGTGAGCCGAGATCGTGACCTTCCACTCCAGCCTCAGTCACAACAGGGAAACTCCAACTCAAAAAACAAAAACAACTCCCATAGCATTCAGGACTTATAACGCTTCTCACAGCTGTAAATGTGTGCAGTGTTTAATTTAATGTTGGCCTTTTTCATCCACCCAAAATTTCCACAAGGTTAATTTGTCCTCAATTCTCCCAGAAACCAGCATGTTACTTGATCCATAGTTATGTCTCAAAATGTGTTATTCAATAACTGTATGACTGAATGTTGGGGAGCATACAGAAATAAGACACTGTCGGCCGGGCGCGGTGGCTCACGCGTGTAATCCCAGCACTTTGGGAGGCCGAGGTGGGCGGATCACGAGGTCAGGAGATCGAGACCATCCTGGCTAACATGGTGAAACCCCGTCTCTACTAAAAATACAAAAAGAAATTAGCCAGGCATGAGTGGCGGGCACCTGTAGTCCCAGCTACTCGGGAGGCTGAGGCAGGAGAATGGCATGAACCCGGGAAGCGGAGCTTGCAGTGAGGCAAGATCGGGCCACTGCACTCCAGCCTGGGTGACAGAGCGAGACTCCATCTCAAAAAAAAAAAAAAAAAAAAAAAGAAATAAAACATTGTCTGCCTCTGACATTCAGAGAAGACTTCTCAGAGGAGGCATTTCCCCTTGACCTTGAAGGATCATTTTGATTTGAAAATTGAAGAAAGGGGCCAGGTGTGATGGCTCATTCCTATAGTCCCAGCACTTTGGGAGGCCAAGGCAGGAGGATCACTTGAAGCCAGGAGTTCAGGACCAGCCTGGGCTGTACCATGGTGAGACCCTGTGTCAACTAAAACAAAAAAAAGAAAGGTGGGAGGGGGCCGGGCGTGCTAGCTCACACCCATAATCCCAGTACTTTGGGAGGCCGAGGTGGGTGTATCATCTGAGGTCAGGAGTTTGTGACCAGCCTGGCCAACATGGTGAAACCCCGTCTCCACTAAAAATACAAAAAAAATTAGCTGGGAGTGGTGGTGCGCGCCTGTAGTCCCAGCTGCTTGGGAGGCTGAGGCAGGAGAATCGCTTGAACCCGACAGGCAGAGGTTGCAGTGAGCCAAGATCGTGCCACTGCACCCCAGCCTGGGCAGCAGATCGAGCCTCTATCTCAACAACAACAACAACAAAAGGTGCATGCCTGTAGTCCCAGCTACTTGGGAGGCTGAGGTGGGACGATTGAGCTTGGGAGGTCCTGGCTGCAGTGAGCTGTGATCAGCTGCACCACTGCAGTCAGACTGGGTGACAGAGTAAGAGCCTGTCTCAAAAAGAAAAAAGAAAAGAAAAAGGCAAGATAAAGGGAGAGGGTAGAGTTTAGGTGACAACCAAATGATAGCTTAGAGCAAAGCAAGGTCAACATCGGGTCAGGACCATCAAGTGAAACCAGTGTCCTGAATCATTGGAAACAAGAAGGTACATGTGAAATGTTGCATCCAGAAACCCTTTATCTGAAGCGCTGCACCTGCTTTGGAAATCAAGGCTGCTACTCTGTATCAAGTGGATTAGATCCTCCAAGCAAGAGTCAGATGTTTCATTTTTACTGATAGAATTTCCAACAATTTATGAATTTAGAGAACAAAGTCTCTCCATGGGTAAAAAAAACCATGTCCTTGGCCAGCATGGTGGCTCATACCTGTAATTCCAGCCCTTTGGGAGGCCAAGACGGGCGGATCACCTGAGGTCAGGAGTTCGAGACCAGCCTGGCCAACTAAACCTTGTCTCTACTAAAAATATAAAAATTAGCTGGGCGTAGTGGTGCACTTCTGTAATCCCAGCTACTCGGGGAACTGAGGCAAGAGAATCACTTGAACCCAGGAGGCAGAGGCTGCAGTGAGCAGAGATCATGCCATTGCACTCCACCTTGGATGACAGAGCTAGACTTCAGCTCAAAAAAAAACAAACAAAGCATATCCTTGAGAGACATAGTGTTTCCTGTTAACTTGGGCCAGCTTTATCTGTGTGTGTTACTCCAGTCCAGTGAGATAGCCCTCCCTCGACCCCAGTTACAGAGAAGGAAAGAAAGGGCTGCCGGGCGCGGTGGCTCACGCCTGTAATCCCAGCACTTTGGGAGGCCGAGGCGGGCGGATCACAAGGTCAGGAGATCGAGACCACGGTGAAACCCCGTCTCTACTAAAAATACAAAAAATTAGCCGGGCGCGGTTGTGGGCGCCTGTAGTCCCCAGCTACTCGGGGAGGCTGAGGCAGGAGAAATGGCGTGAACCCGGGGAGGCGGAGCTTGCAGTGAGCCGAGATCCGCGCCACTGGCACTCCAGCCTGGGCGACAGAGGCGAGAATCATTAAAAAAAAAAAAACAAGCGAGACTCCTCTCAAAAAAAAAAAAAAAAAGGGCTTTTAATGCAGCTACACGCCTCTGAACAGTACAATCACTGAGTGAGGGAATACACTTTTTTTTTTTTTTTTTTTGAGACGGAGTCTCGCTCTGTCGCCCAGGCTGGAGTGCAGTGGTGCAATCTCGGCTCACTGCAACCTCCGCCTCCTGGGTTCAAGTGATTCTCCCACCTCAGCCTCCTGAGTAGCTGGGATTACAGGCATGCGCCACTATGCCCGGCTACTTTTGTATTTTTATTAGAGATGGGGGTTTCACCATGTTGGTCAGGCTGGTCTCAAACTCCTGACCTCAGGTGATCTGCCCTCCTCGGCCTCCCAAAGTGCTGGGATTACAGGTGTGAGCTGCCATGCCTGGCCCCGCCCAAATTATTTTCTAGTGACCCTTTGATACAGTGCAGTGGCCGGATCTCAGCTCACTGCAAGCTCCGCCTCCCGGGTTCATGCCATTCTCCGGCCTCAGCCTCCCCAGTAGCTGGGACTACAGGCGCCCGCCACCTCGCCCGGCTAGTTTTTTGTATTTCTTAGTAGAGACTGGGTTTCACCGTGTTAGCCAGGATGGTCTCGATCTCCTGACCTCGTGATCCACCCGTCTCGGCCTCCCAAAGTGCTGGGATTACAGGCTTGAGCCACCGCGCCCGGCCCCCTCTAGTGACCCTTTGATACTGGGTTCTCCAGCTTCTGCCAAACCACTACCACGAAGATGTAAGATCTCTATAGGAACGACGTTTTTATTTATTCAGAGATACATCAGTGTTTGTCTTGGGGGAAGGTGACTCCAATGGCCCTCCTCACCTCCTCAAGGATGTCAGCCAGGAGCTCACTTTCTACCAGGGGAATCACAGGACTTTCTTTCAGACCTGCGGGGATAGGGTAGTTAGGGACCCCTCCTACCCACGCACCCGAAACCCAAATAACTACAATTCCCAGAATTCCATGTGGTACAATATACATGGTTCAGGCAGATGGATGCTGCAGGGGTTCCTGGGAGATGTAGTTCTTTTTTTTGGGGGGGGGAAGCAAGAGTCTTGCTCTGTTGCCCAGGCTGGAGTGCAGTGGTG